TGCTGGCTTATGGGTTTTTATGGATATCTAGGAACCACTGGATTTTTAATGAATACTGCACATCATTTCAGGAGCTGTGGTAAAGGGCACATCATTTCAGGAGCTGTAGTAACCGCACGGAAACTTTTGGAGCACTAGTATCTCTTCACTTCAAAATTGGGAAGCTATTTTAAATATCTCATATGTTGGAATCAATTTGTATTGATTTTTATTTTGGATTTCATGATTATTTGAGGATGATCCCTTATCCTCCTGTTTTGCAGTGTATTATTTATCTTTCTTTCTAATTAATCTTCTCCTATTATCCAAAAAAATATTTCATGGATTTTCATTTTGTCCTTGGATTAAATTTATTTTAGTGGTGTTCTGCTCAAAAGATGATGCACCCAAATTTCTAGGTCTAAGGATTCCTTAGGATAATGTTAAATAAGCTATTGTTCGTAATAATTAAAATAGTTACTCTATTCCTCTCAAACTGTAGATTCTTTATCATTGTTCTGATCTTTGCAAGCATAATTCATCAATGATTTTTTCTCTGCATGATAGATGAGCGTCCTGGACAGTTTATTTTTCCTGTGATGTCCCTATTAGCGTTTTAAGTTTTCAAGTAGTAAAACTGTGATTTCAGCAATTCTCCCAAGTGACTGTCTTATTGCATTTAATTGTTGATGCAGGAGATGAAGCGACAATGTGATGAGAAAAGGTTCAGTTTTTATTTTCTTTTGTGCAATCCCCTCCTACCTCCAAACCTCAAAGAATAAAAAATAATTGCAAAATTTAACTTTTCGTGTTTCTTGAAGAAGAAAATTACTAGATATAGTTTTTCTCATTTTTGTACATAATACAGAGATGTGTACGAGTACATGGTAATGAGACAGAGAGAAAAAGGGAGGTCAAAAGACGGGAAAGGAGAGAGCTTTTCTATCCAGCAGTTACAAGAAGCTCATAATGAGTATGATGAAGAGGCAACTTTATTTGTTTTTCGTCTGAAATCTCTGAAGCAAGGACAGTCCCGAAGTCTTCTGACACAGGCAGCTCGGCACCATGCAGCTCAGGTTCTTTATCGTTGCGCTTACTTTTATGATTTTCCTTCCTGTTGTATAATTTTTAGTTTACCTTCTTCACATGTATAAGCAGTTGTGCTTCTTCAAGAAGGCTCTTAAATCTCTTGAAGCAATAGAGCCGCATGTGAAGTTCGTCACTGAACAGCAGCATATAGATTACCAATTCAGTGGACTTGAGGATGAGGATGGGGATGATGGCAATGAAAATGATGATGATGATGATGAATTATCTGATGTATTTGATGATGGGGAACTAAGTTTTGACTATGGGCAGAATGACCATGAACAAGATGGTTTTTCTACAGCACGGAATTCTATGGAGGTGATGATTTAGAGAATTTCACTTTTGGTTTACAAAAAGTTGATTACTGATTCTTTTCCTTGTAATTCTTTGATGTTAAGATGCTCTTTTGTTATCTTTTTTGTTTGGAGTAAATTTTGCTTAAGGAAGCATTGGATAAGCAGAACTGGACAAAACAAATTCTTTAATTTTCTTAAGTTAACCTATTTCTAGAACTGAACTGTATAATTTGCTTCTAGAATGGAGCAACTTTTATTCCCTTGGACACTTTACTTTGTCACACAGTATAACTTTGGTCCTGTTCCACCTATCCACTTCCATCTGCAACTTCTTTGCTACTTAACTCTCATCTCCAATAGCTTACAAGGAAGAAGTCTATCAACAAAAAATTTTTGGTAAAGAAGAATTAGAAATCTAACAGCAAATGAAGAATAGCTGAATGCAAGTTGGATATGGAACCTCATTGAGAAACAACTCTTTTTTGTTGATCAATTTCTAATTATCTGACTAAATGCTTGGAACAAATCTAGGCTTTTTGTAGTATTTCCAGATTTACATTTAGTTAAACTAGAATACAATCGAAATCCTCCTTAAAATAATAAAAATTAATGATATCACCTAGCAAAGTGGGAGGATGTAAAGTTACCAGTTGAACAAGGGGGTTTGGGCTTAAAATCTCTTGTTGAGATGAACGTGGCTTTGCAAGGTAAATGGATATAGAGGTATATGAAGGAGGAGAACAGATTATGAAAGAGTGTTATTGAACCCGTGGCGGAGGATTGATGATGGAGGGGCTAGGAAAGACCACGTTGCATGAGGATTATGGAGGAAAATTCAGATGGATCGGCCAAAATTTCTGGATTGCGTTAGCTGGAAGTTAGGTAGGGATTGGATGAGTGGGTGGATGGGGAAAGTCTTAAGAGGCAGTTCCTGAGGATCTTTGACATTGCACAATTGAAAAGTATCGTTATTGAGAACGCATACAGAGAAGGTAATGGTAAGAGGGAGTGGATTGTGAATGTGAATAGGAATCTGAATGACTGGAAAATTGAAGAATATGAAGCACTTCTACTGCTATTATCTACAATGCATGTTAATTAAAACAGGGACCAGATTGTGTGGAAGCTGAAACAAAATAGGGAGTTCATTGTTAAGTCTTATTATTATTATATGGTGGGAAGAGAGTCAAACAGGGTTGCCAATTTCTCGGCTTATCAGATTTGGAAAGGGAATACGCCTCCAATTGTTGCTTTCTTTGCCTGGGAGGCAGGTCGAGAACGCATATTGGCGATTGACAAGCTGATAACGAGAGGCAAAATTATGGTGAATGTGTGTTACTTGAGCAAAAAAGCTGCAGAATCTTATAATCATGTTCTTCTTTGGTGCCTAATAGCATATGAACTGTGGTCAATGATCTACAGCCTGTTAGGGATTAATTGGATTATAGCGGGAACGGTGGAAGATGAGATTTGGGCTTGGGAAGGATTATGTAAAAAGAGGAAATTTGTAAAGCTTATTCTGCTAACTATTTTTTGGGTTTTATGGAAAGAAGGAATAGTGGGGTTTTTTTAGGGTATTGAGGATAAGATGTTTAAGATTAGGAATAGATGGTTTCATTATTTTGACTCATTAATGTTAGATCATGACAATTATAGGGTGGAGGATTTTGAGAACATCATTGATATAATGACACAATTTTAAATTTTTTTGTAAATGAGTGGTACCTCTTTAATACCTTATGAATATACAATTTAAACTTTTTATTTCAAAAAAAGATAATAATAATAAAAATTAATATCTTATGGAATTCTACATGAAGTCAATTTTTATCATCTTCTAATTAAATTTACATTTTGTTCTAGTTAAACTAAGTTAGGATTTGTAAATGAGTTCCACAGAATTTCTCGGGTCATTCCAAACATAGTGTAATTTCTCTGTTAGATGTGCAAGGGATCAGATACTGAAAGAAGCAGATACTGACTGCTGAATAATATTTCTTGCAGAATATTATTTTGTCTGCCATGACATAGTGAGCATGTTGTTGTTCATATTTAACTTATTCAAGTATCGTATGTGACATGATGTTGATGCAGTTGGATCAATCAGACCTTACATTCCCAGTAATTGCAAAAGCAGAGGCTCCGAAGGTGAATAACCTGCCTTCTCAACAATTTATTTTTTGACAGTTATAATCTACAGATTACAAATTTTTCTAATATGCACACATGTATACATGGGCGTGCACACACAAATGGATTTAATGTTTTAGACTATTAACCTGATCAGCTCCATTTTTCCATGTTTCTGGATAAGTTACAGTACATTTCATTAACAATCCCCATATGCTTGATGTAATAACCAGCAAAATAGTTTCAAAATTATGATACAGGTTAATCAGGTTTTTCAGAATCAGATTCAAATATATTGTTTATTCATGGATTTTAATGGTACAATATGCATTGAATCCCCTATTAAATGCCTGACTGAACTCAAATACAGGATGTTTTTTGTTCCCAATTGGTTATTGGATTGAATTCCTTTGGAAAGGCATTCATCTCCCCATATATAGAACATGATATATGTACCTGAATGCAGTTTTCAAACTTGAAGGCTTTACAGTATTCTTTTCTTCTTTTAAAGGTTATTTGAACACCAGTTATTTCCTGCGTAGTTTAATTCTTGAGGTAATGAAAATATTCAATGATCTTTTGTTTGTTTTTGAGCTTTATTTTCACATGTTTGCAGGAAATTCTAGATAGAAGATGCAGGAAATCCTTTTCATGTAAGGGGGAAATTAGGGCAAGCAGCCAATCAGCTCCTCTTTTTGTTGAAAGCAAAGATGATCCTGCTGGAAAACTTATGCAGACACGGTCATCATTGACACGAAGGTTCAACACCTATGTATTGCCAACACCTGTTGATACAAAGAGTTCAAATGCTACAGTATCCAGTAGCATGGAGCCTAATGCTACAAAGACAAGTTTAGGGTTAGGTGGGGTTACACACAATTTGTGGCATTCATTGCCATTGACACCAAAGAAATATGAACAGACACTGGGAGATGAAAAGATATCAAGATCTGGTGGGATAAATACACTGTCGGTGCTGAGAGAGAGTAACAATAATGCTGCTTCTGCTCAATTCCCTCCTCCTTTGGCTGATGGGCTTTTATATTCACAGGTTGATCCACTTGCTGCTTCTGATTCCAAGAAGATCAAAAGACAATCCTTCTCTGGTCCATTGAGTAATCAATGGTCTAACAAACCTGTTTCATTGGAACCTCCATTGCTGTACTCTGGACCTATTTTGAGAAGTCCGATGCCTCAAATGATATCATCATCTCTGAAACTATCATCATCTCCAAAACTCTTATCGTCTCCAAAAGTATCTCCAAGTGCCTCCCCTACATTTTTGTCCTCACCGAAAATAAGTGAACTTCATGAACTTCCTAGACCACCAGCCAGTTCTGTCTATAAATCTTCGAGGGTTTTAGGTTTGATGGGTCATTCAGGGCCCCTTCTGTCCAGAAGTAAAGTGATTTCTGCTACTAGTAAATCAGTAGTTTCAAACTCAGCCTCCCCACTGCCAAAACCTCCTCAGGCAATTACTCGTAGCTTCTCCATACCCTCAAGCAGTCATAAAGTAACAGCGATAACCGTGACCAAGCCAGTTGACTCTTGTCGGAACTCAGAGATTGCTGAAGATGTAGCCTCACCTCCTCTAACACCAATTTCTTTATCTAACCAATCATCATCAACTGGCCCTGATCCTATTCAGGCTGTTGAAATGAAAGGTAATTCAGGCAAGATGACTGACTAAATTTTGAGTTGTTTTCTCTTGAAAATTGAATGTGTTACTGTTGCTTATTATACCCAAGGCATATATAGTCACTATCATATCTTAAGTAAATGCAGTATTACACCTTAATAAATGCTTAGTTTTTTTGTTAGGTTCAATATACATGTAAAAAACATAAGAAACTCATAGTTCCTCTCATCTATGGTAGTTATGATTTCATTTTGGCGATATCGTATTCTTCTGTTTCTAATTAATGATGCATTTGATGAACACAGGTGTGGACTAAATTTTTTCTTTGTCATGATAATTCTTTTCTAACTTAGCCATCAAAGCTCGTGGGTTGAATCTCTCAACATTTCTGACAGGTGCATGTGTAAATATCCTGTTTATTTTTGTTTATGAGTGTCTGTGTTAATCAACTCGTTGTTCTGATGGGGCACTCAAGGTAAATCAAATAGTGATTTGTACATGTGCTTCATTTATTTGGGGAGTTTTGTTTGTTATGCAAGAAATTAATAGCCAGTTCCATATTTCCTCATGAGAAATGCTTTCTCTTCCAGAAGTAGGTGTATTAGGATTAATTTATCGTTAGTATATTTATACATTTAATTCAAAATGCAAACCCAAGTAGGAACGAGAATTGATAGAATTAAGATAATAGTTGTGATTTATAATAGTATTCTAGTCCATCATTCAATTCATAATTTGATTTGTTAAGAAAAAAATCCATCATCGCAGAATTTAATATAATGAGAAGAATTGTGAGTTTATGATAAATGATGATCTATTCCTGCATATTAAGTGATTGAAGTCAAGGATTAGAACGAGAATAGAATAGGATTTGAATAATACCAACTGTTGAACTGCTTCTGGTTCAATTTGCATTTTGTTCTAGTTAAATTTGCATCATTCTTATATGTCAAAACTAATATGAAGAGTAGAAGTAAAATTAGGTGGGAATGAAATTAAATTAAAGGAGAGATCCGTAACATGTTGAATTGGAACATGTTATATGTCTGGTGGCCTCAGTTTCATCCATTAGCCCCCCTTGAATCCTCAAAGGTGGGACTGTAGTTCCTACTTTAATTCATAGGTATTGAATCTCCATCTACATGTCCAAACTAATGTAGGGGTTAGAGGTAGGAATTACATGGGAATTTTTAAGAATTGAATCAAAAGGAAACTTACTGTTTTACTTACAATATATTAGTTTGATTTATCTTGCGGCTCCCAAATGCAGATACAAGTCTGCGTCATGTATTAGGTGCTCGAATGACCTGTGAGCAGCGGCCAGTGGAAATCACATAACCTTGTGCTCTGGTTTGGATTTTTGGTTTGAGTTTTCAATAGATTTTTAATCCTATCTTTTCTTAACCATCTGATCTCGGTACAAATGAAGATCATATTTCAAATTTGATGTTATCAACTGAAGTACAAGTTGTTACCATGTTGGATAGAACTTACCTTTTAAACTGGATCCTAAAATCTTAAGTTCCCATCAAATAATTTTAGTTGTAGGAAAGAGAATCATTTCTAAAAGTTCTCTAATGAACACCAACGGTAATTGGTAAGAGATGTGTGGCTGTAATACTGTGCTGAGCAACATTGGCAGAGATCTATTAGGATTCAAGACCCTTGTTGCTTGATATTAGGTGCAAGTATCCATTATGGTTGGTAGAATTAGATGTCTCTAACTCGAGAAATATTTATCGTTAAAGATACGAGGATTGGGTCAATAAGAGTCCAAATTGGTTTTGGATACTTAATGTATATTTGAAAAAGAAATAACACGACTAATATAAGCCCACAGGAAATAAAGAGGATATAACAAAGTACGGTCTGGAAGACATGGATTCACATTGCAGTGAAAATGAAATATGTGTTTTGAGTATTCACTATTAAAAAAATGAAATTTAGACATTTAAAAACCAGTTCTTTAAAAAAAAAAAAAATTCTTTTTAACTCCTTAACTATATAATTGTCTTCATGTTATAATAGATGCTACCTTTTAGTTCTAGACCATCAAGTGTCAAACATGCATGTCATGTGTTGGACACAGATACCACGTACACCAATATTATGTCGCATCTAATGCAAGAATGACACTAAAATTAGTGAGCGTAAGCAAAATGGTCCAGAATGGAAACCCAATACATATTGAGCTCAATTTGTTCAATGGTTTCTGTCAACGTTTCTTCTCTGGATTGTGGTGTTTGTAATATAGGCAATAAGCCAAGGAATTATCGGCTTAGTGCTTTAATTTTAGTGACCATGCAGTTTGGTTCAAGATCCATGATTTGGGCACGTACCTTGTGTATATCTGGGAATTAACTTTTTCCATCAGGAGGCAACTTAGAAGCTAAGAGCTAAGGAATCAATACATGCTTTAACCGTGTCGTCTGAAGAGTATTTCGGTCTGTTATTAGAAGGTTCGGCCACTTCCAGAGAGGAGGTTATCTTTCCTTCAATCTGACTGTCTTTCCTCTCTAGGTTCAGTATTAATCACCTTCAGTTCCCAAACTGCCAGGTTCATCATTATTTGGTAAATCACCATTACTTGATATTTCAGTCTCCTTTTAATTGAGCATCAGCAACCGAGTCTTTATTCTCTCCCAATTTTTGTAGGACTAGTCTTTACTCTCCTTGAGTGACGAGTTGTAAGATTCGTTACTTCTGTGGAAGGACTAGTTTTTGCTTTTCTGAGATTTACGACATTTTTGGTCCTGACATTCATTTAGTACAAGCTCTAAATTATACTATTGCTGTTGTTATTACTACGTCAAAAGAGTAGACGTCTTATCCTACGACAGAATAGGGGAGTTATGTATAGAAACTATGAGGAAAGAGAATATTCCATTATCTGACATG